TTGGTGGTTTCTGTTGCCTGATCTTTCTGTGTTGAATTTCCCCCCTGTGGACTTGCTTGAATATTTGTTTGTCTTCTTTTCCCTGTTGTGTATTTTCTGATACTTTCTATTCGCTGAGATATGGTGTTGCTATTATTGGCCGGCATTTATTTATTTATTTTTTTTTTGGATGTTCTTTCTGGAATAGCTGAGGGACTTCCAGACACTTCAGTTGTGGAGGGTATTCTGAGTTGTGTTGTTTTTCCCTGCCCCCACTGTGTGTAATTGTGTCTGTTGTCTCAGCTGGTAATAGTCAGGGGACTCTTGTGTTGTTCAGCCTCTTCTAGTAACACGTTGAGGCCGTGTTTCTGGAAGGTGTCTGTTGATCTTTGTAGCCTTTGGCTTTCCCAGGTTCCCTCTATGCTTGGTGTGCCCATGGTGGTTATGATGAATTAGAAGTGTTGTAGGTTTCCCTGGAGCTGGGTCTTTGGTTGAGTTGGCGGCTGGCTTTGTTTACACTCTGAAGTACTGAGAGCTCCCAAGTCTTCTTCGGGCCTCTGTTGTGGGGGTAGGATCTCCCCTTCCCCACAGGAGTGCAGGGGAGTTCCAGAGGGCTGAAATCCTCCTGGCTGAGCAGGCTGCCAGTCCTCCCTTTGAGCTTTCAGGGTTTTTTTTGTTTAGTCCAAAGAGTCCCACCCAGAGCAGTGCCTCCCCCTGCCTGAGGTCCTTTCACAGAGCCCAGCTGTATCTCTTTAACTCCAGGGTTTTACTATAGTTTTTTTTGGGTAGATGTGGTAAGCAGGTAGACCCCTGAGCAAGTTTCCCCTTTTGAGGCACTTCCTAGGGCCTCTCTATGTTAAATGTTTGGTTTTATTTTTTTTAAAGATTTATTTATTTATTCATACAGAACTGTGGTACAGGCCAGAGAAGTGGAGGCTGAGAGAATTCACCAGAGACAGAGCTGTAGCAGAATAGGCAGATCGACAAAGTACACTGCTGAGGGGAGCAGCGGGTGGGTCAGGAGAGGTCTGCCAGGCCATGTGGATCTCCTCCAGGGCAGGCAGGATCTAACTTATGTGCAAGTGGCTTAAACTTCTTAATGCAGTGCTTTAACCTGCTGTGTCACCAGGCAGGGCCTGATAAAATGAGTTTTAACTGAAATAGATACCTTATTTTTTGCTTAAACTGAATATTTATGTACTTAACGGATTAAAAAATAAATGGATCATGGAGTATGGGCATTTTCTACACATATTTTTTTATGAAGCTAAATTAATTAAGCTTTATACATTGTGTTTCTGTTCACTGAATGGTATATCTTTTCCTCAAGGACAATCAATCAGTCTAAATGAAATAAAAATGATGTACATTTTCTTTTGGTCAAACTAATTCTTTGTAATATGTTTTTTTTTTCTCCTTCAGAGTTTTCCAGTGCTTTCCTGGCATGAAAAAGAAACCATTTCAATGCTCAGGTAGATCCTGGGGACCCAAGTCTTACTGATGTTGACACCCCAATAACAATTCAAAGTCACACTCTACGGAAGCCAACTACATTTTCTGCCCAAGTCTAATGAACCCCCCACTATTGGGGATGAACACTTGTGAAGTATCTTTTATTGATGAAATTCTGCAGACCCATGTAGATCCAGGGTGTGAAAGGAGAACATTTTCCTCTTTCAGCGACTCTTAAGTTTCCAGGACACCAAAGCTACTTTCTTAAATCATACTCTCATCTCCATATTCTCATTCTTGATTGTCTCACCCATAGCAGCAGCCATGATACTCTCAGAGACACAAGAGTGAACATGCCAGTATCATAGGAAATAGCATTGCTTGTCCATGAAAGAAAGGAGTACACAGGAAAATTGTGAGAAAGGGAGAAAATTAGTGGAGAAATGAAAGGAAAACAAAGTGGAAAAATGTTGCCTCAGTTTTCCACTGAAATTCAGTAATCCGTGTAGGCAAAGAAAATTGTCTGTCTTCTGACTCTGTCTTCTGCAAGAAAATGATCACCTCATACTCCAACTCTTATTTTGATACCCTGTGGCCTCTACTTCTCCACAGTTTAAGAGGGATACAAAAAGATCACTGATATTTCACATGCATGACTAGATAAATGAATACTAATTCCTTTTCAAATAAAATACTAACAAGTAATCACAATCATCATTAAAGGAGTATAAGTTCTTTAATTCTGTGATGTCTTAGGGGGTCCTGGGGAAGAGATTTCAACTTTCTCTAATTTTTAGGATAAGAGCTAGGCAGGGCCTGAAAAATCAAAGCAAGGCATTCAGCATGTAAAGACAAATCAAATTTAAAGAGGTGATAGATGTCAGTGTGGGGCTCCCACTCCTTTGGTCTGCACAGAAGGTGCGAATTTTTATGTTATTCAATACAGTAGAATTCTTCATGTTGCAGGCAGTTTCAGTAGCACAACCCATGCCATATATCACATATTTTTGCAGGTCTGTGAAGAGAAACATGCAAAGTTAGTCTTCTTCCTCATTTTTTCTCCCTTCCCACCTACATTTTATACTAACTCCTTGGGAAAGGAAAGGGCATTCAAAGTTCCCCAGAATTCCTGGCCCTGTCTGCTGCAAGAAAATCATCATCTCAAACTCCGACTATTTCTTGATTTCATTTAGCACAAACTTCCCCCAGTTCTGGAGGGCTCTCAAAAGACCTGTGATATTCCAGATGCATGACTAAGTCTAGAATCACTGGTTGCTGAATAGAGTAGAGATAGTTGATAAGGGAAGAAATCTGGGGATCAGAAAGCATGTATTTAGTTATAGTGTGATCTAACTGTTCTCCTCCTTACATTTTCTTCTTCGGTGAAACCAAAGGGAAGCAATGTAGATACCCATCAGCCTCAATCCTTTCTCCTTGAACTGAGTTTCTTGGGAGATTAACTCAACAGAATCTTATACACTTCTATGCTTTCAGTGGCAAGTTGGAATAGAGACACTACTCCACAATGGACAGCCCTCGCTTTCATCTCATCCCAACACAACCCCCACTGCAATTCATAGATTCAGCCAGGAGCACCCAGTTAAGCTAGCCCCAGATTATGGATCCACAGACACTATGAAATAGTGTTTTATGTGTTAGGCAGCCAAGTTTTACAATAATTTGTTACAAAGCAGTAGCTAGCTAATACACTACAACCTTTAAGAAGATAAGCATCAAAGAGCCTGGGGAAATAGCCTTACTTGAACCAAAAATCTCGATACACTTCGTCTCTGCACCAGTGCATTTGAGGAGTGATGGGTTACAGAAAATGCTGTCCTCACTGTAGCAGGCAGGACATGTGATGCCATTGTGTAAGGAATTCCCCTGCTCTGAAGGCACATAGAATTATGTCATGTTAAGGAATAATGTTAAAAAGAGCTGAGAATATTTTGAACCTTTCCAAGATAACTGTTAATCCAGAATTCCTCTCCCCAAATTACAAAGTATTTAAAACTAAGATGTCACAAAGGGTGAAGGAGTTGTAGATAGTAAGTAGAAAGATATAAGCAAAAGGATCTTCCACGGATTTGGGGTTATCTTCCCTCTTCATGAATCACTCCCCTCTTCTTTGGCTAGAGAGAGGAGGTTAGGTAATGAAGAAATAACCTGTGTCCAAGAATTATATAGTTAAGGCAGTGAAGAATTAAATAGATGAACAATGATATCTTCTCAGCTAGAAATGAAATGGAAAAAAATATATATCTACACATTTAGAAAAAATACCCAGGACCAATTCCAGCCAACCAGTCACCTATGTAGGGAAAGGGAGTGTATCCATTTCTTCAAAGGGAAGAATGACAATCAGCTAGGAAAAAAAAATAAAATGAGAAGGAAAGGGAAGGGAAAGGAAGGGGAGGGAAGGGGAAGAGAGGGGAGGGAAGGGAAAGGTAGGAAAGGGAAAGGTAGGGAAGGGGAGGGAAGGTAAAGGGAGGGAAGGGAAAGGAATGGAAGGGAAGGGAGGAAGGGGGGTAGGAGAGGAAGAGTTAAGAGGTGAGGGGAAGGAGAGGGGTGTGGAGAGAAAGAAGGGGAGAGGAGGGAAGTGAAAGGGAGGGGAGGGGTGAAGGAGGAGAAGGGGAGAGGAGGGGAGGGGAGAGAAATGAAGGGGAGGGAAGGGAAGAGAAAAAGAGGGGAGGAAAGAGAAGGGGAGGGAAGGGGAGGGGAGGGAAGAAGCAGACCATAAGAAGATAATTAGAAGACAGAGATCTAATGCAATGGATTGGGAGCATGTACATGAATGGAGGGAAAGCAGAGATGAAATACTCACCAACTATAGGCTTTTTATTACACTCTTCAGTCTGGCAGCATTTGTGTTCATACCTAAAGGTTTTATCACTCCCAAAAGAGGCTGAAAAGGCCAGTGGAACACACCTACTCGAAGAACAGCCTTTCTGCTGTAAAACAATTTTGGGATGCCCTGCAGAGAAGCAAACCACAGCAGCAAATTATTCTCTGAGCCAACTGTAAAGGTAGTATTGAAGATTTCTATACCTTGAACCCCTTTGTCTTTAGCTTTCCATAGCTTAAAAAAAAGTCTATCTTCATGGACCATATAGTACACCAAAGGAGGAATGGCTTGTTAATATCGTTAGCTCCTCCCTCCATATTATACTGAGTCCACCCTGGTGAGATGCAACAAAAGAAACATGTTAAATAGAAGATTGCCAGGATGTGAGGACTCTATCCAGTTAGTAACACACAATTTCTGCCACACTAAACATCTCCATCTGTACTGTGTACCTAGCAAGGTGGGCAGGGAGCTAACACAATGTACCTGTAAATTCTTGATTTTTGCTGTAACAGCCATGGGAAGATTCACAAGTTGTCAACACATCATCGCTACATTGATTTGCAGGGCACTCTACACACTTATAAGTCTCTATGAAAGAACATACAATTCAGATATGAAAATGATTAATAATCACAATTAATGTTTTAATAGTCAATTATTCCTGATATTCAGATGCCATGACATCCACTTCCATGGAGTTAAATGAGCCATTCATTTTATTCTCCAGAAAGGGCCACTTCAGGCCCCAATCAGACCTTAGCACAAAGCTGACTCACCCCAAAACTTAGGCTCATCCCATCTCAGCCACCCCATCTGGGTGTGCCCATGGGTATCCTTAATGCTGCAGGAACATCACTGTTCTCAGAGCAGGACCTGACCTCTCCAAAGTGGGCATTCATTTTCTGTATTATCCGCATTACCCTTCTGGTCTTTAAGAAAAATGGGTCAGGTATTTATTCTTACCCACAGTGCTGAAAATCAAGGTGATGAGAATATAGGTGGCAAAGAGGTTCTTCAGGGCTGCGAATGAAGTCATGGTGACACTGCAGAAGGACCAGGGCAGAGCACAGTCATAAGGGTCATGTGGCCCAGGCATCTTGTTTCAAAACCCAAATATTGTCCAGGGTTATCCTTTCATTCATTGATTTAACAAATAAGGTTGTATTAGTCCTTGACTTTATTTAGGGATGAAAAGAGCCCAGGGTTTAACTTCCTTCCTCTGGATGGAGCCTCATGGTGGACTTCTTTCTCCCCTGGTTGTGAAGTTGTTGGAGCCCTCTCCAAATTAGCAACTGCAGACTTGCTCAAGATACAGCAATCACTCTTTAGGAAACAGAGAAGAGCTCTCCACTAATTACAATGGTCTGAAACTGTCATCCTCTGAGTCAAAGAGCACCTTAGTGAAGAGGCTGATTTCTCAATTCTAAAATGATTGAGTAATTAAAGAATTATAGTTTAATATAATTTTATAATATAATGCAGTGAATTGCAATGCTCTTCCAAAAATGTACATTCAGAACAGTCACTTCTAACATTCAATATTCTGACATGAAACTCTTTAGGGAAGTTCACGCTTATAAATATAGCAAATGTGAAAAGGAAATTGTGAGAGAACAATTTGCTTATTCAAACCTGCTAGGTATGAGCGTCTTCACCAAAAGTTTTAACACTGAGTCTCACTTGGTCTTTTATCCAACAGATAGCACTGTGTTAGTCGGCTGAGAATAAACCTCTTCTAGAATTGAGTGCATGCTTCCTTTTTCCAAATACTCTCTGTGAAGTAATTCATTTCTCCTCAGCTGTGAGGAATTTCATGGTTGTATTTTGTGGTTAGCCACTATTCCATTCAAATTATCCCTTTTCTTCATGTATGTTTGTATTTTATCTTTTTTTAAAGATTTATTTATTTATGCTTACAGAACTGAGGTACAGGCCAGAGGTTCAGGGACAGTGAGAGGATTCACCAGAGACAGAGTGGGCAGCAGAACAGGCAGATTGATGAAGTACACTCCTAAGAGGAGCAGTAGGCAGTTCAGAGAATGTCCGTGAACCCACGTGGATCAGCTCCCTGGCCAAGGATTGATCTCGTGCTACAGTGGCTTCAGAAATATTCATAATGTGGTGCTTTAACCCATTGCACCACCAGGGAGAGCTCTGTATTTTTATCTTTTTTGAGACAGCACAGATGTGAAGAACAATTCCAGTTGTTAAAGAACATGAATCAACAGAAAGCAGTCATGGGAAGGGAGCCCTGTAGGTCTGCCTTGAGATCAGTCCTAGGCTGACTATGAATCCTGGTCTGCTGCCACCTGATTTGTGGGCCCTGGGGAGCACTTCATAGCACTTCAGGGCCATATATCTGGACAATGGCTCCAGGGCCCCATGATCTGTGAGAATTAAATCATATGATGAATAAATGCCTGGCTCACAGTAAACATCATTTCTTAGATGCTCTTCACTGCTAGTTTTCATCTCTCCACTTTCTCATGGGCTCTATTCTACCCTTTCCAATCCAGTTCCTAGAGCCAACTCCAGGGAATCTCTTACCTTTCTCCCAAAGGAAATCTCCCTGTACTCCTTTTTTTTTTTGGACTTTATTCATCCTAATCCATTATTAGGGCATAAACATTACATTTGATTTGGAAGAAAATCACTAAAATGTAAACATTATATTTTTATAAGCCTCTCAACAGGCATCAAATTCTGAGATCAAGAAATGACAGGTTCTGAAAATTCAAGGACCTTATGGTGTCTACAGTGGGCAAGGACTATGCTTGTTTTTGCCTCAGTTTAGCTGACTGCTGCTGAAGTAGCAGCATTCCCTTCCAGGCTCCTCAGAAGCCATGATACAGAACAAGGGACAGCAGTAGTCAGGCCCGGGACAGGGGCAGAGGTTAGCAGGACCTTAGTTGGGGGTCTCTGAAAATGTGAACATATGGGAAGTGAGAACAGGTTCCCATTGTCTAATCAAATTCAATAAATAATTTCAGAGGAACCAAAGCCATGAGCTCAGACAAAGCCTGAGGACCAGGATCGCAACTTGCATTCCAGGATGACTGCTGGCTATGGAGACAAGACCACAGCAGGATTTGCTAGATAGACAAACTCTGGCATCCTTCCCAATCAGTGTTTATATAAACATTTCTGAGAATTCATATGACTTTGGCAGCTTAAGAAGGAATTAAGTTCAGCCTTTCTTTGTGGAATTCTATGAATTTCAAGCCTCATTCATCTTTGGACTCATCCTTCCAGGGGTCTGAGGAAACATCAGCAACATCACCAAGGTGTGGTGGGGGTTGCCACCCTTACCTTCCTGAGGGCGAGTTTTCAGGAAATAATAGTTGTTTCACACTCTGAATTTCAGATTGTACTTTCCAACATTACCACCAGCTAAGACAAATAGTCTCAGTGACAAATAATGTATATAATACTTATCCAAGAATCACCTCCAACATCATTCCAGGTTTCTAGCTGAGGCCATGTGAGAAGAGCATTCAATTTCTCTACTCAAGAGCCTCATATTCCCGGTCTGAGCAGGGGACAAGGAATCCTGCTTCACAGGGTAGAATGGAGTGCCATTACAGTGTGGTCTCTTCACCACATCCACATCGGTGACATGGGATGAAACCAAGCAGCTGTTGCATTTGGCAGAAGTAGGACTTGACTTGGGCTGTCAACCTGTTGACTCATGGTCATGTACGTCAAGATTCTAGGCAGTACAACAAATGCAGCTTGCTTTCCCTCTATCATTTCAACAGAGGAGACGTCTGACAGACAACAGGTACCCAGAGACCTCCAGAGGCACTGATTCCAGGGCTAGATATAGTACAAGTTTCACTCACACTGGCATAGAAAAAGGATTAGCACATCTTCCACTATCTTCTATTGAAATTAATCCTCAAACCACAGAAAAATCACCCACCACTGGAAATCAGTGAAGTTTTTTTTTTCTATCATATCACATGGCATCTGCAATCATAAACTATTCTAAAGCATTTTGTCAACTGCTTCCAAATTAATACCCTATTAGTGTACCTGCTGGAACTTGGTATCTTACATATTCATTAAAATATGCATCTGCTACTATACCACACATTCAAAGAGTTTTGTAACTGAGTTTCATTATAATTATCATTCTTTTCATGAGAAGAGGTACATAGACTCTATCTGATTGCAAATGTTCATTAACAAAGCACCAATCATGCTCCCAAAGCAGAATTCTGCTCCATGCCCATGACTCAGCCCCAAGTTACGCATTCTTGGGTTTTCCTATCTCTTCATTTCATTGCTCCTACCCCTTTCTCCTAGTACAACGTGCCCCAGAACACCTGACCAGATGAACCGACTGGCGATAAGGGTAGTTTCTAGCAGAAAAGGTATGAGGCCAGATGGCCCAACTTACAGAGTGATCTTGGTCAGGAAGTTCACTAGTTGAAACAAGCTACCAGCTGTCATGCGATGGCACTGCTCACCCACACTGATGGCTCACGGATTAGCCTGGAATTTAAGTACAGCACAGTTCAGGAAAGGCGGGAGAATCAGATCAAATGTGCCAGTTTTCTCATCACAGAGATTTCTATAAGGAAGATAGCTTAACACAGGAAGGAGGCCCCAGACTCTGTGTCAACTTCCTGTTTCTCAAGTGTGTTTCTCAACCAATCATTCAGGGTTATGGCTACCGTGCAGATGTTACAGAGTGCAATCCAGGAACCAATGGGAAGTGGGATACAAAGAGAAGTGTAAGAATTAGCCAGAACCTTTCAAATTATAGGAGTGTCCTGGTTGTTATGTCTCTCTAAGTTGTGGCCCCCACCCTAATTTTGGCTTCATGATTATTGCACAAACCCTTACAGAGACTCCACTCTTTCAGGTCAACTGTATCAGTTTTTGTTTACACACCATCTCTGATATAAAAAACAAAACAAAACAAAACACAAAAAACTTGTCACTAAGAACTATCTCCTTGTCAGTCTGGTTCCTTGAAATAGTTTGGTCAGACACTTTCCTCCCAGACAATTACCATGTGAGGGAGCAAGGAATAAGACTATGATTCACCCAAAATCCCTGAGAGCCACTCACATGCTTCGGGCCCTCAATTTCCCCATATGTAAAGTAGAATGAGATCTGACCCCCACCTTCTAGGTTTATGTGAGTGTGACATGAACCCACCTGTACTTGAGTATATATATATATACACTCTAATTAGTTGGCACCAATACCAACTAATATCTGCTTGTTTGTTCTCTTTAATTCAAGTATCAGAAAGTATTTATTCTATAGCATTTGCTTCTTGACCAAACCACTTGATCATCTAGGAGTCAGAGAGACTAGCTACGTGCAAAGTACTGGGGAAGCTTTCTACATACATCCCATTAAGAGGAAGTATAGACCTTTTCCCCAGATATGTTGTACCCTTTTCCTATGTTTTATGAGAGCCTCAGGCTTGAGAGGAGGCCTGATCAATGGTGAACATCAGGAAGCCCCTTTCTGGGGAGAAGTTGTCTTGAAAAATTTCTCTGGCTAGAGTTGTCTAGTGTCTAAGTCATAAGTATTCAGTTTTCTGTGTCAAAGTTGGAGAGACCTTTATCCATCCCAGGAGTTGTCTCATATGCCAGGACACTAACTTGAGTCTAACAAGTCTTAGTGGTGAAGTATCCGTGCTCAAGTGCAGTTCATGGTAAAAGCCTGTCATGCTCGTAAGGGTGAACACTCAGAAAAGGAAAAGGCACAAGATCAAACCATATTTCTGACCCTGAGGTAGGGGCAGAGAGATAGAAGAAGAAGAGCAAAGCAAAATGATGGATCAAATTAAAGCAATTAAGATGAGGAAGACTATTTCACCTAGGTACAACCCCGTGCACTGGGTTCAGCAAAAAGCCAGAAAGAAATTTCTGGCTAGGAATTTGATATTTACGCCAAAAGCATCCAGGTAAGTAGGGAAAGAACAAAAGGATGGGACTTCTGACAAGGCAAGTGGTCATTGTTCTAGGAGAAGCTTCAGGAATAGCTTCAGGAAAAAAAAATCTTGTCCATTTTTCTGGTTTCTAGGTGTTATGCCTTCTTAGTATAAACAGAAGACAGGAAAATGACCATTTTTTCACCTTCTTTATTTATTTTGTTTTTATAGGTGGTTCTCAGAGACTTCAGATTATGATCAAAATATGACCCTTAGTGGAGAATCATCCCTGGGTACTGCTCTAATCCTGATAATTATCCTCAAATAGAAAGTGTTGGGATAGGAAGCACATAAGTTTAAAGAGCAAATTCAATGGCCATGGCCACCAGAGTATGCTACCCAGGTTCCTAGCATCAACCACAGAGAAAACTGTGATCTAAAACAGTTCTAATCCATCATCCAATGGTCACTATGCATAAACAAGGCAATATGTAAGCACAAACTTGACCCTTGATTGCCCCTTACCAATATACCCTTCATCCCTCTTATTGCCCCCATTTTCATTTTTTATTCTCATTTTTACTCTCAGCTTATAAGATTGAGCTTTTCCTCCAGCCTCAGAAGAACCCCTAGATACCATCCAGTAATTTTCTGAGGAAAAGTCAAGGGGAATGCATAAAGGACTGAGAGTGGATGCATTCTATATACATGGAAGAGCTGGCACCACTGAATCATAGGAAGAAAGTTTTCACATGGCCTAGATCTTAGCTGGAGTGGAGAACAAATTGAGCTCCACTGTATATACAGTATTAAAAAAACAATAAAACTCTTAAGAACAAGTTTAGCCATAAAATGGAAAGATCTGTAAACTGAAAACTAGTAGATATTGAAAATAGATAAATGGAAAGCTACCCTGTGTTCACTGATGGGAAGAATTAATATAGTTAAAATACCCATACGACTCTAAGTCATCAGTAGGTTCAAAGCAGTCTCTATCAACATTCCAATGATAATTTTCACAGAAACAGCAAAAACAATAGCAAAATTTGTATGGAACTATAAAATACTGAATAACCAAATATGAGAAAAAAAACAAATCTGAATAACCAAATATGAGAAAAAAAAACAAATCTGGGAGCATCAAACTTCTTGATGTGAAACTATAATGAAAACCTACAATAATCAAAATATTGACATCCTTACATTAAAAAATGATGTGTATACCAATGAAAAGAATCAAGATTCCAAAATAAACTCTTGTATATCAATTAATATTTGAAAAGATATCAAGAACATCCAGTGAATGTTTAAGAACTGGTTTGGGAACCTCCTTGATGGTGCAACGGGTTAGGACGCAGCACTGCAAGCTAGCCACAGCCGCCTCAGTACCAGTTCGATCCCCCAACCCGGAGGTGACCCACATGGCATGGCAGACCTCTCCTGTCTTGCCCACTGCTCCCCTCAGCAGTGTACTTCGTCAGTCTGCCACAGCTGGTCTGTACTCCAGTTCTGCACGCATAAATAAATAAGTCTTTAAAAAAAAATAACATATCAATGATGAAATAATACTCCTTGCCTGATACTGGTCTTTACACTCAGAAATGTCAGTGTTCTGTGAAGGTCTGTAGACCTACACTGTGACATGCAGACCACACACGAATCCTGTGCTTAAACTAAGTTTTGCACTAGGTGTCAAAACAGCTTTTTGTCTTCTGTAGGGAAACTTAAAAGATACTTCATTCTGCCAACACATTAGGTTTGCTTTATCTACCAGCTGTCATGCAGAACTTTCAGAACGACTTAGGGGCAAATGAAATTCAAAACCTGTAGAGCAGCTGTAACCACAACTTCCTTTTATATAGAACTAAAAATATTTGAGGCTTCCTTGCCCCAACCTGGCCTGGTTGCACAGGACTGAGAAGCCCCTTTTCACCTTAATAAAGTTTTTCTTCCTCTAAAAAAAAAAAAGAATTGTAAATGATTTCCTGGTTGAGCAATAATTTTTCAAAGCTGAATTGGTTATAATAGCACTTGTATTTTTAAAATATAGCTATTTTCATTTAGGAGAGTGGAGGTAAAAATGAAGGAAAGCTGAAGCAATATTAAGTACTTCTTTCTTTGGCTGATATGCTTCAAAAGGGAGTAAGTGTCCAGAAAATATACATAATTGCATAAAAAATGAGCATATGAAGCAGTAAAATTATTTGTTAGATATAGAGTTGTTTGAGATACTGAAAAATTACTGCACCTCATTAATATCACTAATTATATATTTTACAGTGGTGAAACTGGTAAGCTCTGTGATATGTATTGCTGCACAATAAAAATTTTAAGAAATAGTAGGATGTATTTTACAAGACAGTGTTAATACTAGGCCTACCAGTTATCCCTTTAAAAGAGACATTACAACATTACAAAAAAAAAAAAAAAAAAAGACAGACATCCGACTGGTTAGGAAAAAATTTCTCCCAAAAAACTAGCAATAGAGGATTGATCACAAAGATATATGGAGAAAGATGACAACAAAATGAACTAAACACCTCTATCCAAAAATGGGCAGAAGAGCTAAAAGACACTTCCCCAAAGAAGAAATGCAGATGGCCAAAAAACATATGAAAAAATGTTCAACATGACTCATAAGAGAGATGCAAATTAAAACCACAATGAGATACCACCTCACCCCAGTGAGAATGGTACATCTTCAAACAACTAGCAACAACAAGTGTTGGAGAGGATGTGGTGAAAAAGGAACTCTCCTGCATTGCTGGTGGGAATGCAAACTAGTACAATCACTATGGAAAACTGTTTGGAGGTTCCTCAAACTGCTAAACATGGAGCTTCCCTACGACCCAGCAATCTCACTCCTAGGTATCTACCCAAAAGACACAAAAACACTGATTCAAAAAGACACCTGCACCCCCATGTTTATTACTGCTTTATTTACTATAGAAAAGACATGGAAGCAGCCCAGATGCCCAAAAGTAGATGACTGGATTAAAGAGATATAGTATATTATACACAATGGAATATTACTCAGCAATCAAAAAATAAACATGTGCATTTTGCAGCAACATAGATGGAGCTGGAAAAGATCATGCTTAGTGAAATAAGCCAGAAAGAAAAGGAAAAATACCAGATGGTTTCACTCATAGCAGTATAAAGGACTAGGGGAGAAAATAATAATAATAATGAACAATTATATTCCAGAGACATTTTACGTGGGGGTGGAGTGGGAAATGGGATCAAAAATGTGGGAAGGGAGTGCACTGGGCTATGGTGATGGCACACAGGTGAATTGGTGTTGGGAAACCCATGGGGATTACAACTGAGATGGAGAAGGCACAAAATGATGTACAATAAGCTATTATATAAAAACAAAAAAAGAAAAATACTGGATGGTTTCACTCATAGCAGAAGTATAAAGGACCAAGGGAGAAAATAATAATAATGATGAACAACTATACACCAGAAACATTTCATGGGGGTGGGGAAATGTACTGGACTAATGTGATGGCACATAGATGATTTGGTGATGGGAAGCCCATGGGGATAACAACTGAGATGGGAAAAGTCACAAAATGTTATAAAAATGAAATATTAAATTATTTAAGAAAAAGTGTATGGTGGCATTT